CCCTCGATAGCTCTGCATGCGCTCCGTATATGGCCTGAGTGTATATTGGAAAAGTCAGTGCATATGATAAAAATCCGGCAAATGACGTCCGTCATAGAGCTAATACCAAAACAAAGGATGTCCTAGTTACTTTCGACGCCCCTACAAGGTTTTATTGTCCGCTAGACAATAGGCTTACTCAAACGTTACTACATACGTGACAATTCTCTTTAACAGCTCTCCGAAAAAAAACGTTCGACTCCCATGTTGAAAAATGTCCTGAGGTAAGAACTTTCTTTTAACCGCAGCAAGTTGTCTCAGCCGAAAAAGATAGGTCCTCTGCGGGGTTCAATTGACAGACGTAAATAAGGATAAGTAAAAAGGTTAGCTGTAGCGCTCCACTGTTAAGCGCGTATTTAGAATAAAGTCCGCTCGGACACAGAAATGTGGACCCCCTCGAGAGAAATCCTAGGGGTTGGCCTACTCCAGTATCCTAAATTTAAACCTAGTCCTTAAACTAACCCTACCTCTAATACTAACCCGCATAACTCTAACTATAAATATGACAATAATTCTAACTCTTAACCCAGACCTGGCATTGACCCTCACTCCAACCTTCCATGGAACTTGTGGCAAGGTCATCTGCAATACGGGTCCATATACCTGTACTCAACCAAAAGTTCGAACTAAGAGAAGAAATCACTGACCGTCTCTTTGAGCTGGATTTGATTGAACTTGATGCGAATAAGGCGATGCTGGAATTGGGTGTTGAAGTAGAACTGGTGATCGGGGGACATTTCCAGTGACTGAAATATAGAGAGGAAAACAGTCGGAGTGAACTTTAAAGCGATGATAGGACACAAGCAAAATAGACCAACATCAATAGGCAGTAAAGCGGGGTCGACTCGTACCTTCAAGGTGCCAAGCAGGTTTTAGAAACCACAAACGAAACCCATTGCGATAAGAAAGTCGCAAAGTGGGAGGGGATCAACCTTTCCAACCTCGATATGTCAGAACAAAAATACATTCCTCCCAGCGAGCGTGTAGCAGCTCCATTGGACATACTATAGGGTAACTGCATCTTCACTCCTATTTA